TATTTAAAGTTTGTTTGTTTTGAATCGTCACAATTGTTGTTACTGGGCTGATACCAATCCGTACCAATCTAAGGATTTTCCATGAGGCTCACACACAACACCCCCAAATATCACAATCAATTAAAAATACCTACTTATTTTATAAAAATAAAAATTAAATCGAATTAAAAGTATCTCATTTGAAATTTTTAATACATTTAACAATTTCTCCTATGATCAAAAGTTTTTAATATAACACAAATAAGCACAAAACTCTACTGAAAATATTAATAATTAAATACGTTTACAAAGAGTTTCAATTTTTTTCTGACTAGTGCGAAAAATCCAAATAAAAATATTTTATGTTCAATTTATTATTATAAATGTATTCCTTATCAACTTGTATAGATACAGTGGCGGATCCAGGATTTTGGTTTGGGAGGGGCTTGAGTCAAGCCCCTAGACCCAGCTGAAAGTAAGCTTTATCAAGGTAAACACATTTTAGTGCAAACAAAACATGCGCAGACGTCAGATTTGATTGGGGGGTCTTGAGCCCCTTAGCCCCCTGGATCTGTTTAGATACATATTATTATTGTAAATGGGCAGAAGGACATAGGTTAATAGCCCTTTAATTTAAATTTTATTCTCGGTTTTATGTTTTAAACATTTTGTTCAAACATGCCAATAATTAATTATAAAATTTAATATTTAGAAATCAAAACCTTAAGGATATATGGGGCGCCGTTTTATTTTTTATTCAGGAATTAATTTTACGTGCTAACCCTAGAGTAATATTTTTAATTAGATTTTTTAATTAGTATCACATAAGAATTTTTATTCTGAGAATAAATAATATCATAGCAAATATTTTAAAATTAGATTTTATTTTTATGCCAAACTGATATTTTTAATTTGCTCAATTAAAAATATCGCAGCAGAAATTTTTAAATGTATTAAAAATATCATTTAAAAATTAAAATAGGTATTTTTAATTCGATTAAATTTTTATTTTTATTAAATAAGCAGTACCGTCTTGACATTCGAAGAGGTCGGACGCGTCAAGATCCCTCCTAAGTGGCGTATACGATACAAACGTAAAGTACCAAAAACGAAACAAAGTATCCGGAAATATCGGTAATCGTTAATAAATAATAAATAAAAACATAAATAAACAAACAAACAAGTGCAAGAAGTGCGAAAATTGTGAGATAACGCCGTAAAAGTGTGCAAGTGAATAAATACCTAACTGAGGCTAGGCAGCAACGATAAGTCAACCGGCGCACCTGGATAGGAGCGTTCCAAAAATATCCTTTTTCTATGCAAAAACCTGCAGGAGAAGGCCACCCCGCGAAAGACAAAGCATCAGGTTTATAGCCTAATAATCAAGCTAAGTAATTCTTCTAATTGCATGTCTTACTATAATCGTTAAATGTTTATATAAGCATTTCACAATGTTGAAAAAAAAAATCTAAGAATTCTATTCGCCTTAAAAATTAAATTTTAAAAAATAATAAGAACATTTCCGTAACTGTTAAATAAACAACCTAATTTCTCATAGTAGACAAACGTAAACAACCAGCGTAAAAGGCGTCACACCCATAAACCAAGGCCAAACTAATACACGGAACAAGAGCCAAGCAGGCCACAAGGCCGCATTCCACTATATGCACTACAGGGCCGGCTCTATTTTGAAGATTGGTATTTACATAAAGTGATTAATTAATTAATTAATAAATTAATTGATTGATTGATATTGATAATCGTATTGGTATTGGTATTGATGGTAATATTGTTGGTATTGGTGTTGATGTTGATATAGGCATTATAGATATTGATATTAGTATTAATATTGATTGATTAATTGGTTGATACTGATATTAACGTTAATATTGATTAATTGATTGATTGGTTGATTTTGGTATTGATTATTTGTATTATTTGGTATTAGTATTGGTATTGACTAATTGAAATTTATATTGAATTTATATAGATACTAATTTAACAGGAAAACAGGCAACAATTGATCATTGCAGAGGGCAGCGTGCGTGTGTGAAGGGAAAGCAAGTGGGTGCGTCGCAATATTATATTATTGTATTATATATATTATATAATATACACATAAGCTCACGCAAGCAAAGCTTGGAGGATGGAGAAAGTAAATGGGCAAAGCCCCTACGCGAAGGAAGTGGTAGGCCATCTATTGGGGCATGCGTTGCACGCCCGACATAGGGGCCGGGTTTCAAATTGATGCGATACACCACAGGGCCGGCTTTATCTATTTTGTATATTAATATTTTTATTTTTAAATTAATTTGAAAAAAATAAGTAAGAAGGCAAAGATATAAATAAATGAAAACGGTATGAACACTAATATAGCAATAAAATAAATAAAGAATATACAAGGTGGGTAGCCGGAACTTCCGGAATCCGACCCGGAGACGGACACAGAAACTGACGAACCGGAAGTAAACCAACAAAGATAGGAGTAAGAAAATAACTAACATACCCACCCCCCATTCACGAATACCAATTGAATGGGGGTACTACTAAGGCCTAGGTTGAGGAGGATTCCGGATTGTACTTAGTTTTGGGTCAGTTCAATGTCCTCCAAAAACCCTCCCTAATCTGGACGTATGGCCCGACCCGGCTGACAAAAATTCCGGGAGCGGCCTTAACCTTTGACATTGTCTTCCACAACCTCCTAGGGCGGATCAACCAGCCGGCGTAAAAACCTCGGATCCAACAAACACAGGTAATGCTGTGATTTGGCGGGATACGCAGGAGAACGAAAAGGGGGTAAAATATCCCCTGGAGATCGTGGAAGATAATATATCTGGGGCCTGCCATACGTTCCCATACTCATACTCATACTCAATAAGCAGATATTTTTAATTGAATGTGATATTTTTAATTCCGAATGATTGGGAGTTTGGATACCCCTGTTAAAAATTAAAATGAATTAAAAATATTCCCTATGATATTTTTAATTTAGCGAATTATAAGTAGAGATGCGACTTGAAAAAAAACGGTCCGTTTTTTTTGTTTTTTTTCAGGTTTTTTTTCATTGTTTTTTTTCAAATGGTTTTTTTCACATTTTAGGTTTTTTTTCAAGATTAGTCCCGTTTGCCTATTTTTTTTATGTTTCCAGTCCAGTTCATGGACTAAAATTTGCCTCTAAATGACAATTAGTAAATGTAAATGCTATGCACGCGCCACCACCACCGAATTGGCCAATAATTTGGTCCTAAAAAAAGTAACTACATATAATATTTTTGATTCAGCGTTTGATTTTTCAAAAAGCACTTTTTTCATGATTTTTCAAATTCATGTAGAGTATGGATTTTTTTTTTTCAAAAAAAAAACAATAGCAAATTCTTGTAGAACATTCCGTGGACCAGAAAGCCAAAAAAATTTTTTTATTACGGTATTCGTTAGGATTGAGCATTGCACATTTTTCATCTAAAAATCTCAAAACTAGAAACGTCAAGCTTCAAATTGCTTTTTTTACGGCTCCAATACGACCATTTTTAACAAAGATACAGCTATCCGAAGAATCGCAAAAAAAAAAATTATCCTTTAATTTTTTGTATTAGTGTAGAAGTTTTACATTGCTACTGGTTTCTAATGTGGAAACTACCAAATAATAAGAAATCAGATTTTTTAGTCTCGGTCAAAATTTTAAATAATGAAAAATTTAATATATTCTACATTTCACTTTATTATTAATACCTACATATACATTTTACTCAAAATTTCATTTTTCTTCTAGGTTTTTTTTCATGTTTTTTTTCACATCTGAAAAAAAACCGCTTTTTTACATTTCTAATTATAAGAAGCAAATATTTTAAAATTATTAAATTAAAAATATTGGTTTGGCATAAAAATTAAATCTAATTTTTAATTAAGCGAATTAAAAATATGTGTTTAAAAAAAATACAAATATAAGAAACAGATATTTTAAATTCTCTAAATTAAAAATATCAGTTTGGCATAAAAATTAAATCTAATTTTTAAATATCTGCTATGATATTTTTAATTTGCAGATTAAACATGTATATGTACGAAGGCGTAGAAGGGACAATTGCCCAAAATTTATTTTTAATATTTAATTCCGAGTTAGGTAACTCAGAATTAATTCCCTCCATTTAATTCTGCGTTAGCTAACACAGAATTAAATCCGCCATATTTAATTCTGCGTTAGCTAACACAGAATTAAATCCGCCATATTTAATTCTGCGTTAGCTAACACAGAATTAAATCCCCCATATTTAATTCTGGGTTAGCTAACACGGAATTAATTGCATTTAATTCTGTGTTATCTAACGCAGAATTAAATATGTCGGATTTAATTCTGTGTTAGCCAACGCAGAATTAAATATGGCGGATTTAATTCTGTGTTAGTTAACGCAGAATTAAATATGGCGGATTTAATTCTGTGTTGGCTAACGCAGAATTAAATATGGCGGATTTAATTCTGTGTTAGCAAACGCAGAATTAAATAATAAAAATGAATTTAGCGTAATTGTCCCTTCTACGCCTTCGTATATATGTGATATTTTTTATTTATACATATATTTTAAAACTAATCTAATTTTTATGGCAAACTGATATTTTTAATATATTTAATTTAATTAAAAATATCAGTTTGGCATAAAAATTAAAATAATTTTTTAAATATCTACTATGAGATTTTTAATTCGCAGAAAAAAATTCTTGTATTAGGTATATTTTTTATCCAATTGAAAATATCACTTTAGTGTTAACACATAAGAATAATTCCTGAATAAAAAATAAAATGGCGCCCCATAAGGTTACATAGGTAATTTACAATTCAAACAATTTATTCTAAAAATTAACTTATCAATTACAGGGTCATAGATCAAAAGCATCTTTACAATTTAAATACCAAATTAATTTTATTTAATTCAACCATTAAAACACATATATGTAAACAAATACATACATAATAATGCCTGGCTTTAAATAATTAATTAAACTTACAATATATATTTTTTTCTTACCTGTGCTTATGAAATAATAAAACTATTAACCAAATAGTAAATAAAAATGTACCAGTTACTTCACACATATCAAAAGCCCATGGAATATGTGGTACATTGTCCAAAAATATATCTGGCAAAGGTGGATATTTCTTCATGTCAGGCACTCTATCATGAACAATAACCATAACAAAGGCTGTGATCCATGTAACAAAAACAACATAACAAAAACTTAGGAAGGCTTTAACTTTTTCTGGTGGTAGTCTTTGATATTGCCCATCTTCTGAAATTGGGGGTGAAACCCTCTCAGACTCACAGTATTCACTGTCCTGTTTATAATTATGATGACTGTTATATAAACTCACACTCGATGTGTCTAATAATCCCAGATCGGAAAGCACATTTTGGTTTTTGTTTTGCAATGATTTACAATATAAATACAAATATTTTCTGTCCCTTAACGGTAAATTTATTAAAGGTTTTATTGTAAAATCTTGGTCGTTTAAAGCTAATAAACATTTACCGTTCAATTTGTTTTCATGACACAAAAAATGAACAGCAGCATCACTGAAATCCTCCTTTTTTAACATTAACGCAGTGTCTTGCGTTGTCCACTGCAGCACTGACTTATTTTCAGACATTATTGTTAAGGAAGCACAACTAAAATAACTTAAATATCCTAATGTTACTTATTATTATTGTCACAACCATGTTACTTTTGCTCTCGACGACATAACCTACATAACATGACGTTTAAAAGCCATCATCACACAACAACTATCCATAAACTATTTAGTAAATTACACAAGTTTTTATTTATTTTTATTTATTTATTAAAACTTTTAATAAATTGTTATTAAACCACCGCTGCGATGATAAGATTTTGCCATGTTAATTACTTTTCAATTAACGACTGAGCATTTTTATGTTTCACAAAACATATTAATTAATATGTTTTGTGGAACATAAAAATGCTCAGTCCTTAATTGCAAAGTAATTACCTAATACGGTTTTAACTTAAATCAACCCGCCTGAGCTACTTAAAACTTTTAAGTAGCTCAGGCGGGTTTATTGTACCTACCTATAACACGTGTTATTGTTAACAATTGTTTGCATAGTTTTATTGCCCGAGCATTTTATATTAAACAAAATGTTAAATTAACATTGTTAATTAAAATTTCCAGGCAGCATTTCGTCATGCTAAGCGAGCATGACTGTATAATACTATAATACCTACTATAATATATGTACTATATAATACTAGGTATGTATATTATACATATGTCATGGACCAGGCCAATAATTTGTACACTAAAGGTTCATTCCAACCAGCAGTAATATTACCGTAATATTATCGTCCGTAACAGCGTTAATGCGACTGCGCGAACAAAAATAGTAAAATTATTTTGAATAATGTATAAACTGGTTGGAACCTTTTTTGAACTGGTAGTACTCACAATCAGAAGAAAAAGAATATAACCCAAAACCCACAATTGTATTGTGCTAAAAGCTAAGTAAAGCGCATATGGGTATATCTATTTCAATAAAGTATTAAATATGGCAGGTTTTTTAAATAATTACTTGTATGATTCTTCGGATGACAAGGAATTTAGATTTTATTGGGGACATTGCTACTAGAAATAAATATAACCCAGGTTTGTTGAGTTTATAAATATATATAAAAGTATATTTTAATAACATCACACATTGATAATAAATTCTTCCATTCCTGCTCACAAATGACAAAAATTAGATGTATTAACATTAAAAATTAATAAAATCACCTTGTATAGCAGTCATTTTTAAATAATATGTCCACTTTAACAGAAAACAAACTTACAATATTACAAACGTTAATAAATAAACAAAAAGATGAGGTTATGTGCCCCTTCTACGCATGCGTCTAATTTTATTATCAACAGTTCTTGCTCTCGAGCAAGAATCGTTTGAACCGTAATTTAACTGTTCGTAACTCTGGTTGGAACGACGAACTGACAGTAATTGCCAGTTCTAAACTAGTAATTTTAGTTGGTTGGAACGACATTTTACAAACGCGCATGTGTATCAGTAATATTACTGGAAATTACTGCTGGTTGGAATGAACCTTAAGAAACTTCCTCTATCACCCGTAACACGCCACATAACTACCTACGCGAGAAAAGGCCAGTTAAACTCCATTCTAAACTTTGTTTAATCTATGATTCTAAAAATTAAGGGGCTCTATAAACAGGAGACAGGATATCGTCAGGATGCTGCAATATGGGCATATGTCACTACTTCTACCATGCAGATCTTCCGCAGTTAGGTTTTACACAAAGAACGCGGGATTATAACCAGTGCTTAATAACCACGCGCCTTTTACAGCTAACCACACACACAGATTGCGTGAGGATAAGCATTAGTTTTCCCACGCGAGTGTAAAACAAGTTTGATTGTGTAATTAAACAAATTAAATTAAATCAGGTTAGTGTAAACAGAGGCTGGTGTAAGTCTGGCTTTAAACGTCAGTCACAATTTGTTTAGAAAATTTTATATTTTTAATGAAATCAAAGAACGTTCTTTGATTGAATTCTTTCTAAATTACGTAAATTACGTAAATTATAGTAATTAGTATATCCTTTTTCTATGGTAATCATGTCGAGATCCACTTCCAAATTTGACACCAAAAAAGTGGTAGGTTTATAAGATAAATTTTATTAAAATAAAACGATTTTAAATTACGTTTTTTTTTTGTAGAATTCTGAGCTTGTAACTTTAACTTATGGGGCGTTAGTGGCTCAGATGGTAAAGGACTTGGAAAATACAGATGATGTTAGTAAACAGTTGGAGCGGTTGGGGTATAATATGGGCATTAGGTTAATTGAAGACTTTTTGGCTAAAACAAACACTGGAAGGTGTTTTGATTTAAAAGATACAGCAGATAAAATACAGACTGCTTTTAAAATGTACTTGGGTGTACAACCAAATGTTTCTAATTGGAGTGCTGCTGGAGATGAGTTCTCTTTTATTTTGGACAGTAACCCGTTAACAGATTTAGTTGAATTACCAGATGATTTAAAAAGTTTAAAATATTGTAACCTTATATGTGGTGCTATCAGAGGAGCGTTGGAAATGGTTCAATTAGATGTACAAAGTTGGATTGTTCAGGTAAAATATTTGTATTATATAATAAAGATATCTTTTAATATTGTCACCTACTACAACTAGGTAATTCAAAATTTTTCGAATCTTAATCCAGATACCTATGACCTGACACATTGTGTCCAGAATAGACACCCTTTTTCCTGTAGGGTCATGTTAAAAATTGTGTGTGCAAACAAAGACCACGTAATTTGGAGGACCTAAAGGTGCGAATAACTGCTAAAATGCGCAGAATACCTGCATTGCTTTGCAGTCAAGGAAGCTCAGTTTGAACATTTGATTCACTATTGCTATTTTTTTTTGTATTAAGCCTACCTCTTTAAATACTTAATTTTATCTAAATTTTACTGTTGTGAAATTAATTATTTGTAATTGTAATTGTTGTGTAAATAAGTGGAAGTTATAGGTACGTAATATATTATGATATTATTATTTATAATTTATCCCTGTCAGTATACTGGGTAGTATACTAACCAAAGAAAATTTGGCTTCAAAAACATAAAGGGCATTAAAAAATCTATTATCCCATGGGCTTGCACCCTTTGCAGATGCTATATAAAAATTTAGGGAATTATTTTTTTTAAGTAGCAATTTTAATACATAAAAAGTTGTCTGTAAAAAATAATTTATTAACATAGAATATTATGTTGCATGGAATTTTCAAAAGTATGTTTAGCGGTAGATACGAATATTAATTACAATAAATAAAAAAACTTCGAAAGCCGACAACAGTTATTGGCGTAACGAGAATCGCACTGGTGTTTCTTTCTATTTCCAAATACGTCACAAAAGTGGAGTGGGTAAACTCGCCGTGTCTTTTCTGGACACACTGGTCTAGGGTCATGGGTTGTTTCAACAAATAAATACCTTTCCACTGGGTTGGAATCCATTTTTACACGCAAATTTTCAAATTTGTTTATTCAATAATAATGTACTTTTTACGTTGCCGTTGTCGTATTAAGATGATTATTATATATTATGTGATTTCTAAAGACAAAAATAGAAAGAAATCTTCTTATAAACATAGCGCAGAGGCGTCCCTGAAGATGTTTTTTTTTATTATTATTTCCGAAACGGTTTAAAATAATATAATGAAATTACAACAAAGTTGTATTTATAAGTGTATTTTTAACCCAAATTTTTTGTTAGCTGCAGGATATAAAAATTTAGAGAAAAAAGTACTCTTGTTAAACATCGATAAAATGCACCATTTTCAAATAAAAAAATGTATTTTTTATTTTTAATTTAATATATTAACCAAGAAATATTAATAAAAAACTTCATATAGGGCATTTCACGTGAAGTATGCACGACAAAAAAGCTTTACAACTTTTATTTCAAAGAAAATTGGTAAAGTTGTTATACTATCTGAGAACGTAAAAAGTGCAAAAAGAGGGAAGTAAAACTCAGTGGTTGTATTCTTTTTTTGTAAATTTTATGTTCCTTGTTAATGAAACCTGACTTACCTGAATTAACATTGTAGTTCAAAAAACAGGCAAATAAATACTTTACTTTAGTCAGGAAGTTTTAAAATAAATAAAAACGCGTTAGACATTTTTTATAGGATTTTTTCCGTACTTTTTAATAACATATAAAAATTAATTAATTAATTAATTAATTTTTATAATATACTTGATAATTATTTCCAAGTATTTGAGCCTAGAACTTGTATCTCGACAACTTCTCCCCTTTTGCAATTTTTATGTACTTGCATAGTACAACAACTTTAACAAGTTTCGTTGAAATCAAAGAAGTGAAGTTTTTTTCCCGGTACACTTGACGTGAAATGCCCCATATGTTTCCCGAAAATAAATTATTTTATATCAAAAATATTCATAATAAAAGATATTCAGGGGCGCCCCTTACGAGGCTGTGGGTCCCTTAGGGGCCGTTTGCCAACCTAGGTTTATTTAAAGTTTTCTTCCTGTTTTTGGCCAAACGAGAATGTTCCCTTTTTCGCATCACTACCCCTACTTACCTTACAATTTTGGTTAAAGTTACTGGTTTCACTGTAGATTCCTGATATATTTTTTTTAAATATTTATAGGATCAATTAAAGGGTGATCAAAATACAGAAATAAGAGTTAAATTCATTAGAAGATTAGAAGATGCAATGCCGGCTGGAGAAGAATAATTGGTAAATTTTAGTAATTTGTATTAGGTATAAATTAAGATCATTCCCATAAAATATTTTAAAGCTTTAAGGATTATAATAAATAAGTTATAACTATAATGTTTTTTTCTCTATATTATTCAAACCTTTTTATTGGTAAATACCATTATTATAATTATTGTAACCTATAACAAATTTCAATCGTTTTTAATAATTTTGAATTGTGTTTTGGTATTGATTTGAATCATTTACAATTATATTAAATCGAAAATTTAAATAGAAAATAATATTTAAATTATTTTTAATCAGAGCTAAGTTTTTTGTGTCTATCGGTCTGAATCTGACAATATTAAACTGATTGGTTTTAATCAGCGTTTAATTTTGTCAATTTCGATTGGGCTGAATTGAAAAATAATTTTGAAACTATTGAAGTAGGATTTCAATCGGTTTTAATCGGCATTTAATTTCTTTAATTGAATAGCCGGAATGCACAACCGACGCAGCGCGGGGCCAGTAGGCTACTGCACGGAGACCGTTCAATTTCAACAAAATTCTTTAAATTAAACTCGCGATAACTCCTTAACTAAACGTGCGATTTTTATGAAATTTGGACAGAATACTTAGATTGGTACAGCGATGCTATTAAAATAAAAAATACAAAATTTTAACCACAATTAATTAATAAATGCATCAATATTATTTAAGTCATAACTATGCTTAAACTAGTAGATGTTTATAAATTATATATATACGGTTTTTTTCTTGGTAAAATAAAAAAGTTTTTCTCCAAATTTGACAATTATTGATAAATTATTATAGCCGTAATACAAATAAATAAAAAAGCCCGCGGCGCGCTGCGGCGCACTGTGTCGTATTTATGTATACATGTATAGGTGACCAAAAGTCGATTTCTGAAGTTGCCCTTACAGCAAAAAAATATACATAAAATTGATCATTATGCTTTTCTTGACAATGTACAACCATTTGTTTATTTATAAAATATTAATAAGGACCGTGACGTATAAAATTTTAAAACAATGCACAAACACATTTTTTTATATAAATAACTTGCGCTTGGTAAATATGCGATTAAAACTATAAATTATAATTAACAGGAGTTATACGTATTTGGTACATTGCTTTAAAATAAATGTCTTTTAAGGTATAACGTTCAAAATTAAAAAAAATATTTTATTTTATATATAGTAATAGCCGTCCAAATTTTGTCATTTTTTTAACGTGCATTCAAACAAACTTTTTGCAAATAGTAATGGTGCCCCAGGTTGCCCCAATTTCTTTTGTGTGTGGAAGTGTTTGTTAATATATGAATAATGGTCGTTATTAAGAATTTTGACGGGAAATGTTGAGAAACTTGGCTACACTTGATTTTATGTCAAAAAATGTGTATTAGAGTTCATTTTTTTTAACTTTTGTCTTTTTTTTTCGAGTTTTTTTTAAATCTGGCGCCTTAAAATTAATTAAAAACATAAAAATAATAAATATATATTAATTTAAAACTAATTTTTATAGCCAATTGGCTATAAAAATAACTTCTTAACTTTCTTGCTAACAACATCCATTTCAAATACCCAAATTTAGCAATCTAACGGATTTGAGAAAAATGAATGGCAGATGAGGTATCTAAACAGAAAACTTTAACAGGATTAGAGTACAAGTGCGGAATCCCTTTTAGCTCTGCAAAAGGCCATTAAAAACATAAAAAAGTACGTAGAATAAAAAGTTGTAAAAATCGAAAATAATAAAATTGGTATCGTCCCAGAAAAAATTGAACACCCTGTATAAATTAAATTACAACATTAAAAAATATGTATTAATTCAAATATTTTTCTTCCCTACAAATTTTTCATGACTACAGTTGTTTCTGAGATAGGCATATGGGTTATCTTACGTGGTTCACCCTGTACTTAGCTTCTTTTAATCCTAAGTAATGGTTAAATTTATTAAAAATTATATTTTTGGATAACAAAAAAGCATTTTTAATATGTTTTTCAACAAAAATATTTTTGGTCACCTAATCACTCTGTTTACGACATAGTGCGGCGGCGTAAAGACAACAAAGTGCACAAGAATCGAAACTAAACTCGATTTATCACGTTAAAAGCTTAATTTGCAACAAATCATTTATTATTATTTATTATAACTAAATGTGTTTACATTGAACACTTTACACTGTACAATATAAAACACGAATTTTATTTTGAAATAAAATGATTACCTAGGGCCGCTACTGTTTGCTATTTTTATCAATAATTGACCGCTAAGTGTTAAATATTCATCTTGGCTACTGTTTGATTTGATTTTTAAATATATAAACAGATTAACAACGAAAAAGATAACGAAATGTTACAAAAAGACCTAGACTATGTATCAGAATGGCTTCAAGTAAATAAGATGTTTGCTAACGTAGAAAAGTGTGCAACTATAACACACGTAAATATAAATTTATTAATAGTACATATAATCTAAATAACATTAGCTTAAGTAGAATTTATTAATGTAAAGATCTGGGTGTAAAATTGCAATTAAATATGAAATTCAACTCTACCTACAATACAATAGTACCTAAATAAGGCATTTAGGGTACTTGGTGTTGTACTTAGAAATGCCAAATATTTTAAACATATTTCATCCCTTACTAAATTGTATATATTGTATGCATTAGTGAGGCTTCATCTTGAATATGCTTGTATTATCTGGTCACCTACAGCAGAAAGTAATAGTAATGTCATTCAAAAAGTACAAAAAAGATTTCTTAGATATTTACATGTATAAGGAATATAATTTATATCCGATTTGTTAGGACGAATAACATCGAAGAATAATAATTTGTGGGAAGCAAATGTTGCTAAAAGTTAAAAGATATGGTAATAATTTTATTTCAAAATAAAATTCCTGTTTTATATTGTACAGTGAACAGTGTGCAATATAAACACATTTAGTAATAATTACTGATAATAAATGATTTGTTGCAATTAAGCTGTTTACGCCGCCGCAGGCTCTCTTATTTATTATTATACTATTAGTAATATATTACGGCTATAATAATTTATTAATAATTGTCAAATTCGGAGAAAAACTTCTTTATTTTACCAAGAAAAAAAACCATATATATATATATATATATATATATATATATATATATATATTAGGGTGGTCCTTAATAAGGTTATTTTCAAATTTCTTTGCTCCCAGGGGCTCAAATGCTTCCAAATTAATAAAAAGAAAATCCCTGAAAATTTGAGCTCTTAATATTAACTCTAAGATAGTGCGCATTCCAATCTAAGTTTCCTATGGAAATAACATAGGAAAAATTACTTTTTTTGTTTATAATTTTATAACTTGGGAACGAATAAATTAAAAATTATAAATCATACATATTTTTATAGAGAATTTAACGCTCTACAAAAAAGGTTTCGTATAATTTTTCCATTAGTCTATTTGTTTAAAAGTTATTTAACGTCAAAGTTTAATTTTCATATTATTATTAATATTATCAAGGCTTTTTTATGAGGCGCCGTTTGTGTCAAAATTAAAAGTGCTAAATAAACTTATTTTGTTTTATAAATAATTAATTATATGCTTTACCAAATAATTTTTTTATAAAATTATTTTTTTTTGTAAAAAATTTTATAAAATAATTTTTTTATACATTTTTTTTTGTAAAAAATTTTATAAAATCATTTTATTATAAAATTATTTTTTTATAAAATATTTTTTTTTTTTAAATAATTTTTTTATAAAATAATTCTTTTTTATAAAATTATTTTTTTATAAAATTATTTTCAATTCGAATCAAAAATTATTTAATAAAAGACGACGGGCGCATTTATAAATTAATTTTTACTGCAGCCATCTCTATTTGTTTGTAGACACTCGAGTAAACCCGAACGCCCCTCCCCAGATACAATTTTATGACGGACTGGGCTTTTGTTTGACGCAATTTGGGGAAACGATTGAAAATGATAATTTATTAGTTTTATTCATTAATTTATTAATTTTTTTTATCTACATTTATTTTGATTTTTAGTTTTTAACAAGAATTCTTTATGTTTAAACGTTTTTTATAAAAAAGCAATTGTTAAAAACTAAAATAAATAAATAAATAAAATAATTTTCTTGAAAACAAATTAAAATAAATAAATCAATTCTCTTAAAACAAAACTAAAAATCAAAAAAAAATATTTTATAAAAAAGAATTATTTTATAAAAAAATTATTTTTAAAAAAAATTATTTTATAAAAAAATCATTTTATAAAAAAATTATTTTATAAAATTTTTTAGAAAAAAAAATTAAAAAAAAATTATTTTATAAAAAAATTATTTTATAAAAAAATAATTTTATAAAAAAATTATTTGGTAAAGCATATAATTAATTATTTATAAAACAAAATAAGTTTATTTAGCACTTTTAATTTTGACACAAACGGCGCCTCATAAAAAGCCTTGATAATATTAATAATAATATGAAAATTAAACTTTGGCGTTGAATAACTTTTAAACCAATAGACTAATGGAAAAATTATAAAAGACCTTTTTTGTAGAGCGTTAAATTCTCTATAAAAATATGTATGATTTATAATTTTTAATTTATTCGTTCCCAAGTTATAAAATTATAAACAACAAAAGTAATTTTTCCTATGTTATTTCCATAGGAAACTTAGATTCGAATGCGCACTATCTTAGAGTTAATATTAAGAGCTCAAATTTTCAGGGAATTTTTTTTTATCAATTTGGAAGTATTTGAGCCCCTGGGAGCAAAGAAATTTGAAAATAAGCTTATTAAGGACCACCCTAATATATATATATATGTATTGTATGTATGTATTAGGGTGTGCCAAAAAAACTCGATATTTTTTTTTTCTTGCTCTCCACCCAAAATATCGTAGAATATGTCCAAACAAATATTCTGTTAAAAGCGGAGCTCATAATTTCAATTTTAAGAGGTCCCTCATCGAATCTGAAGTTTTGCCGCTTAAATAACACAGAAAACTGACTTTTTTACCTTATTTATTCTTGCAACCTAGGAAGATTTTTTTTTTCGTAAAATCCATGACTAATTCTTACAAAGCATTAAATTTGGACAAAAAAATCTTATTAAG